TTCCATTCCATTCCATCTGCTTGTTTGCCTCGGTTTCCGTCATCCCATAAAGATGATGAGATGCTTTATTTAAATTAAATCTACATATCAGTGATTGCATGACCTCTGTAGGTGTCATACGTTAAATAAATAAATAAATTAGAAGTCACGCCACACCGGCAAAATAATAATAACAACAATAATAATGATTTTTATGCACACAGCAGAAACATTCCTGTAAGATATGCACGCATACTTGAACACCCTGCATAAAATACATTTTGAAGTCATCTCTTCCAATATATTGTTTACTCAAGAGGGGGGCAATTTTCCCCTTGCAAACCTAGGGTCAAACTGCCTCATAATAGCCCGAGAAGTACATTTCGGCTCAGAGCAGGCCGAGAAACATCGACTTAAATGCAAAGGGAGATTTCTCTCCTCTCCCACCCCCTCCAATTTTCTGAAAACATCACTTCAACCTGCTGAATATTGGAAATCCTTGCAGATCTTAAGAGAAGAAGAGAACCTGGACAGGCTGAAAAATATGCAGATATGCCCTGGGAGCAAAGAGAAGAAAGAAGAGGAGGGAACAAATTGTGCTATTTTTTTTTTTGCAGTGAAAAAGTCTCCCCCCCCCCCCCACGTAGACAAAGCATCCGTGCATCAGACAGGCATGCCAGCCAAGGGAGAAAGAGAGAGAGAGAGAAAGAGGGAGAGAGAAAGAGAGAGAAAGGAAGGGAAACTCGCCGGGGATAGGCCAGGAGAACTGTATGAGATGAAGGGCTGCATTGGAGGAGAAAACAAGTTAAAGAAAGGAAGAAGGAGGAAGAGGAGGAGGAGGAGGAAAAGACCCAGAAGCCTGCCCGAGCTGGGAGGTCTGAACGCCGAAGGATGCCGCCAGGAACAGGGAAGAATTGGGCTCCTTCCTCCAGCAGCCAGTCAGGAAACAAAAGACAGGTTTTCAGGGGGTTACAAGACCACCGAGCAACCCCCACCCCTACCCCAGGTCTCTCCCCCCCCCAGGAAGCAGAGATGGTCTGAGCTAACTGATGGGAGAGAAAGAGAGAGAGAGAGAGAGAGAGAGGAAGGAAGGGAGGGAGGAAGAGAGTAAGAAAGGAAAGGGATGGGAAGGAAGGAAACAGACAGATCGGAAGGAAGGAAATGGGTGAGGAAGGTAGGAAGGAAGGAAATAGATGAGTGGCAAGGAGGGAAGGAAGGAAATGGATGGGAAGGAAGGAATAGATGGGTGGGAAGGAAGGAAATGGGTGGGGAAAGAAAGAAGGAAGGAAATAGATGGGTGTGAAGAAAGGAAGGAAATGAGTGGTGAAGGAAGGAAAGAAATAGATGGGTGAGAAAGAAGGAAGGAAGGAAGGAAGGAAGGAGATGGCTGGGAAAGGAAGGAAATAGATGGGTGTGAAGAAAGGAAGGAAAGAAATAGATGGGTGAGAAGGAAGGAAGGAAGGAGATGGATGGGAAAGGAAAGAAATAGATGGGTGTGAAGAAAGGAAGAAATAGATGGGTGAGAAGGAAGGAAGGAAGGAAGGAAGGAAGGAAATAGATGGGAAGGAAGGAAATAGATGGGTGTGAAGAAAGGAAGGAAAGAAATAGATGGGTGAGAAGGAAGGAAGGAAGGAAGGAAGGAGATGGATGGGAAAGGAAGGAAATAGATGGGTGTGAAGAAAGGAAGGAAAGAAATAGATGGGTGAGAAGGAAGGAAGGAAGGAGATGGATGGGAAAGGAAGGAAATGGATGGGAACGGAGGAAATAGATGGATGGGAAGGAAGGACAGAGGGAGGGAGGGAACGGATGGAAGAAAGGAAGAGAGGAAAGGAAGGGAGGGAGGGTGACTCTTGGCCCCAGACCTCAACCTAGGTTATTCCTGGTTTGGCTTTATTCCAAGACCCCTCTCAGGAAAGGCCGGGAGCGGGGAGGGGGCAGGGAAGTCAATCTCTCCACGGGGCCAATAAAAATTGAATGACCAGAGCCCAGAAAAGTCCTTAGCTTTTCCTCCCGGGTGAGCGGTCAGTGGGTCAAAGACCCTTTCCCTTTCACGGGGAAACCAAATAACACAATTTCACAGATACCCACAGCCATTTCCACCATGGCCTTTGTCTACCTTTCCTGCAAAACAACCACAACAAAATCCCAGCACACCCAATCAACCACGACCAACAAAAACGAAGCAAACGTCTGGTCAATTTCCAACTGCCTGTTTTTTTCCTTCCAATGCACCAGCCCTCCCGCCGTTGTGCCCCCGTTAAAAAGGACATTATTTCTCCCACCGCCCCTTTTCGTACTACAACAACAGAAACCCTGCATTATCCCTCCTCACACCATTGCAAAAACAATAAGTGTCTAGGAGACTCTGAAAAACCTGGCTGGATGTTGGCCACAGGATTTCAATTGCAGTCAGGAAGGATGCAAAGACAGAAAATGAATGAAGGGGCCCCCACTGGGCCCTGATTCCAGGTGAGTTCCCCTCCCCTCTGCCCCCCCAAAGCTAAGCAGCATCCTGCAAGGAATCCCCCATTCCTTGAGACCAGGTGGTCCTGTTCCCACTGTATGAAGAGGTGCTATAAAGTCCTTTTTTTTTAAACTTAGGGATGTCCTAACTTTCTTGGTCAAGGTAAAACCAGTTACACACCCCAACAGACCAAGAAGAGAATAATTGTGGCTCAGGGTTGAACTGTGGGGTCCTGGGTGCTGTCTGAGCTTGGTGGTTTTCTTGCAGACATCTCGTGACCCAACTAGGTAATGTCATCAGTGCTAGAAGGGAATGTGGGGTTTGAGGAGGAGGAGGACGACGATTGTGGGGTCCTTGGTGCTCTCTGAGGTGGGTGATTTTCTTGCAGACGTCTCATGACCCAACTAGGTAACATCATCAGTGCTAGAAGGGAATATGGGGTTGGAGGAGGAGGAGGAGGAGGAGGAGGAGGAGGAGAGGACTGTGGGGTCCTTGGTACTCTCAGAGCTTGGTTGCCTTCTTGCAGACATTTCATGACCCAACTAGGTAACATCATCAGTGCTAGAAGGGAGTGGGGTTTGGGGGAGGAGGAAGAGGAAGAGGAGGAGGAGGAGGATTGTGGGATCCTTGGTGCTGTCTGAGCTTGGTGGTTTTCTTGCAGACGTCTCATGACCCAACTAGGTAATGTCATCAGTGCTAGAAGGGAATATGGGGTCTGTGGAGGAGGAGGAGGAGGAGGAGGAGGAGGAAGGGGATTGTGGGGTCCTTGATGCTCTCTCTGAGCTTGGTTGCTTTCTTGCAGACGTTTCATGACCCAACAAGGTAACATCATCAGTGAGGTTTGCTCTCTGTTTCCATACAAGCAGCTTGCCCTGTCCGTGGTAAGAACCAAGCGGTTCCTGGTAGTTCCTTGATTAGACTGTCAGGCCAAGTCCCACGTATATAAACGGAGAGCAAACCCAACTCCTCTCTAACACGGATGATGTTACCTAGGTGGGTCATGAAACGTCTGCAAGAAAGCCACCCAGCTCAGGGAACCCCAAAGACCCCAGACCGCCATTAAATTCACCTCAAGGACGTGAGGCGTTTGACCTCACCCTGACACCCGAATTACACCTGCAGGTTCAGACCACTCTTTCCAAACCGGGTCCCCTCCAGACGCTTTGGACCGCGACCCCCATCAGCCCGAACCAGGCTGTTGGGAGAACTGCTGCGTGCAAGGAACCACCGTGGTGGCGACTGATCTACAGCCACAATGTGTGCAGAAGGGACAAATTGTGTACGTTGGGAATGGCAGTGGGGAGGCGAGAGAAGGCAGAGAAAATAAAACAAGAGCCGGGAAAAGAAATAACAAGGAAAAAAAAAGGCAGATGAAGCTATCGGTAACCTTTGGATGGGCAGCGGTCCTATTTCGAGGGAGGACAAAATGCATGTCCTTGGGGTTCCTCCTTCCACACACACCCCTAGCCCCCCACCCAGTCTGGTCACAGCTACCCCAACCCTGTGGCCGTGTTCAATACAGTAAAGATCAGAGAAGACAGAAATAGGAAGAACAGCCACAGCCATTCATGCTGTTGGGGGGGGAACAAAAAAAAGAAGAAGAACGAACGGAAAGAGAAAGAAAGAAAGAAAGAAAGAAAGAAAGAAAGAAAGAAAGAAAGAAAGAAAGAAAGAAAGAAAGAAAGAACCAAAAGGAAGAAAGAAAGGAAAAACAATAAAGAAAACCACCTCATTCTTTCTTTTTTTTTCTTTTTAAAGCAAAGTTTCATATTTTATTGCCAGCCAGGATTGGCAATAAACAGTGAAGGGAGACAATCCATTAAACTAAATCCAGCACTAGATAAAGCACCTATGGTGGCGTGATTGTGTCCCCCCCCCCGTGCCCTCCATCATACTTTCTTTTTTTGGGGGGGGGGAAGACGAAATGCTGTGAGAGTGAATTATGGGAAAGGGAAGAGGAAGGAGCAAGGGGGAATGGTGTCTCTCAAAAATACAGCCGTGAAGTCATCCGTAGCCCTTGGCGTGTGTTTTCCTCCTGTTCCGTCCAAACCTTGACCCACAGCATTTTGATGCTCGCAAACCGACATCCCTTTGTGGCAGGAAGCCCACCCCCTGCCCGTCATCCTGGTTACCGAACTTTCCATTTAAGGGAGTCACGCTTTCTCACCCAGGATGGTGCCATGTTTTCAGGTGAGGTAAGGGGGCCGCCTTACGAGAGAGAGTCAACAGGCTAAGAGCTTCTTCTCGCCCACCGTGCACCCCTCGAAACACAGCCCGACGACATTTGTGTCCTGTTGACTAAACCAGGCCCAGCCACACGGAGAGAGTCTCCCGCCCTCCTCTCTTTCGTACCCAGAAAATAATTCCCAGGATGAGAAAAAATAGCTCCTTGCTTAACTCCTACGGGGCAAAAGCCACATGAGGTGGACAGCGTCCAGTTCGGCTTGCCCTGAAGCCCCACGCTGGGCACCATTCCACACCTGGACCCCCAGCCGTTGTGTCTCCTGCCTGACCGTGATCCCTTCAGAGAATTCTGGGTAAGAAAAGGGACACCTACTAGACTGCAGCGTGCGCTCCCTGACCTCCGATGTCGGGGCTCCGAGGCCCAAAGCTGAGCGAGCCGCCAGCTGGAAGACATACTCCGTGTTGGGGTTGAGTTCTTTCACCAGGAAGGAAGTCACGGGGTCAAAGGTCTTCAGAAACTGCAGGGCGGCCGCGGGTGCGAGCGTTGGCAACCCAAACAAGCAACAGAAACAAAGGACACACAGGTATGAACGGGGCACGGTCGCTCCGGATTTCCTGCCACGGATTCCCGCTCCACCCCCCCAAAACCGGACTCACCTCCGGGGTTCCTGGCTTGTTGCTGATCTCCTTGTAAAGGAGTTCGTACTTCAGAATAATGTCCTGGCGGGGGGGACTCCAGGTCAGTAAAATGGTGCTCTCGCTCTTTGCCTCCGCTCGGAAATTCATCGGCTGCCCCGGAACTAGTGAAGGAAGGTAAGGCAGGTGAGGGATGGGAACGCAGAAAGGTTGCGTGTGAGAATTTGGTGAGGAGGAGACAGAAGACAACTGTCAACGCTTGGTAACATCAGATGTTCTTGCTTTGACAACATATGGAGATGCAGCCATTTTCCTTCTTATGTTTTACTCTTAGAATTAGAGTTGGAATTAGATGATACTGGGGGGGGGGAGGAGGAATGTGTATGGGAGTTAGTTAGACATAACAATATTGTAATAGTGTGAGAACCAAGGTTTTTTGAAATAAGAGATGATAAGAAATGGCGGGTTGGAGAAACAGGAGGGAAAGCCTGCATTTCAAACTAATTGGAGAATGTGATTTATGACTATTAATTAGAGGAGGGAATTGTGCTTTGATACTATGTGCTGGGGGAAAGGGATTCAGATTTTGGCTTTGCTATGAACATGCGGATGCTAGATTCTTTAAGGTAAACAATGCCTCGAAGTGCTTTGAAGAGTTTCATCTGTCAGAACCAGGACAACAACTGGATAAATGGGTAGTCCTTGACTTACGACCCAAATTGAGCCCAACATTTCTATTGCTAAGCAAGGCAATGGTTAAGCGAGTCGTTGCCTATGCTGATTTTATGACTTTTTTTTTGGACCTTGGTTGGTAAACGAATCAATGCATTTGTTAAGTGAATCGTGCGGTTGTTAAGTGAATCCAGCTTTTTGCATCGACTTTGCCTGTCCGTCAGAGGCCCTCTGGGAAAGTTGTGAATGGTGATCATGTGATCCCAGGACATCGCAACGGTTGTAAGTACATGTGGGTTACCTAGTGTCTGAATTCTGATCACATGACCATGGGGATGCTGCAATGGTTGTAAGTCTGAGGATTGGTTGTAAATCACTGTTTTCCTCTGTGGCCTTCCCAGCTGGCTTCCAACAAGCAAATCAATGGGGGAAGCCGGATTCACTTAACGAGCATGTGATTGCGATGACTCTCTTGGACGATTCCCCAGATACCTCCTTAGATGGCAGCTCGGGGAAGGATGAGCCAATTCCTGGCACATCAGGAACCGAGTTGATCGATGGCTCTGAACGGCCGTCTGGAAGGGATTTGGCTGAGGATCCAGCTGGGGAAAGCTAGCAGTGGCTGGCGGCCAGCGAAGAGGAGGAGGAGGCACTGCCTTCTGCACCTGATCCGAGAACACGCAGGGCAGAGAAAAGGCAGGAGCAGTGGAGGTCAGCCAGACTACTCGAGAGGCGAGGGCCTTGCCCATCTTGATGGGCTGCACTGGAAAGCTGGCTATTTGTCACAGCGGACAGATGGAGGGGTTACTGAGAAGAACGTGTTTGTTTTCTAGCTGTGTGTTTTCTAGTCGTCGTGATTCCGGCCTCACTCTGGATTGACACGGTGTTTGGAACTGACTCGTGCCTTGGAAACACTGGACTTTTCTTGCCTCCCTTATGTGTGGGTTTAAGTTTGTCTGGTGGAGTTATTGTGTTTGAGCAACTTTCAAGGGCTTTGTGGACTCTTTTGCCATTGCTCTGTGGACTAACCTTGGTTTGCTCATGGCTGGACTTAATCTGGGACAGTTCTGAGGTTTTGGTGAAGGGAACAGCTGGGGAATATTAATAAACTCACTAAACCACAGTTATGTGTGTGTCTGTGTGTGTGTGAGAGAGAGTAAGGGACAGCACAGTGATTCACTTAAAAACTGCAGTGCTTTGCTTAACAAGCGGGGTAAAAGAGGTTGTAAAATCTTGTGTGACCTGCTGAACAACTGCCTTGCTTAAGAATGAAAACTTTAGTCCCAATTGTGGTCTTAAGTCAAGGACTACCTGCATGTAGTTTACATGAACCCAATTTGCCATCTCTTTTCTTCCGCCAAATCCATGCAGGATTTGGGGGAAGAAAAGAAAAGAAACAAAGAAGAGAAGAGAAGAGAAGAGAAGAGAAGAGAAGAGAAGAGAAGAGAAGAGAAGAGAAGAGAAGAGAAAAAACTCATGCACGGTCTTTTCTTCTTAGCCCTCTTTTTTTGCAGGATCTCAATTCCATCCAATTGCAAAGTTCTCAATTTTATTTCTTTATCATGTTATTTATTTATTATGTTTATATGCTGCCCCTTTTTCACTAAGGTGAATCTCCCTCTCCCTCTCGACCCATTTACTCTCCCTTCAAATCTATGTTGCACAATTCAACCCTTGTCAATATACTGGCTTTATACTAATTATTCCTGGTCACATACAAGCCAGCTTCAGTCATAACAGAACAACAGAGTTGGGAGGGACCTTGGAGGTCTTCTAGTCCAACCCCCTGCTCAAGCAGAAAGCCCTATATTCAGGGGTAGGCAACTTTGGCTCTTTTATGACTCGTGGACTTCAACTCCCAGAATTCCTGAGCCAGCATGGCTCAGCATGGAAACCTCTCCATTTCTCCTCAGCATGGCTGGCTCAGGAACTCTGGGAATTGAAGTCCACCAGTCATAAAAGAGCCAAGGTTGCCAGGAATTCTGGGAGTTGAAGTCCACGCGGCATAAAAGAGCCAAGGTTGCTTACCCCTGCCCTATACCATTCCAGACAAATGGATTCATTCATATTCCATTCATTCCTGCTTCCATCTCTTCTTGACTGACAGAAACTACGGCGTTCAATTTTTTATAGTTAAAATTAATACAATGGCCAACTAAATCTATCACAATACAAAAGCACTCTTAAATAGCAAGCTAGACACTCATTAAAACTAGTTTATGGGTTGCTGAGCAGTGAAGTGGTTCTGAAGCCCTTTGGGAGAATCAAATGAAGTGCCGTAGCACAGAGACCCCCAACCTTTTGATCACCAGGGACCGGTTCCGTGGAGAGAGGTTTTTCTGCAGACCGGAGGGTGCGTGGTTTTGTGTGCTGCCTGCATCCCGTAGATGGGGCTTTGCTTGTTTGTGCGGACCGATTGCTGGCATGCTGCAGCCCGGTACCGGTCCACGGACCGGAGGTTGGGGACCCCTGCCCTAGCAAGTTAGTTATTTATAAACATATCTTGCCTTTATAAATAACTCCAGCCTGTGAACACACACAATACTACTTCCTTCTCCTATTTTCTCCACAACAACAACCATCAGGTGGGTTGGCCTGACAGAGAGTGAAACCCCTTGTCACCCAGTTGACTTTCAGGCCTTAGGCAGGACTAGAACTCACTGTCACCTAATTATTGGCCCAAAGTCACCCAGCCAGCTTTCTTGCCTAAGGCGGGACTAGAACTCACCATCTCCTGGTGATTGGCCCAAAGTCACCCAGTTGATTTTCATGCCTTAGGAAGGACTAGAACTTACTGTCGCCTAATTATTGGCCCAAAGTCACCCAGCCAGCTTTCTTGTCTAAAGCGGGACTAGAACTCACCATCTCCTGGTGATTGGCCCAAAGTCACCCAGCCGGCTTTCATGCCTAAGGCAGGACTAGAACTCACCATCTCCTGGTGATTGGCCCAAAGTCACCCAGTCAATTTTCATGCCTTAGGTAGGACTAGAACTCACTGTCGCCTAATTATTGGCCCAAAGTCACCCAGCCAGCTTTCTTGCCTAAGGCGGGACTAGAACTCACCATCTCCTGGTGATTGGTCCAAAGTCACCCAGCCGGCTTTCATGCCTAATGCAGGACTAGAACTCACCATCTCCTGGTGATTGGCCCAAAGTCACCCAGCCGGCTTTCATGCCTAAGGCAGGACTAGAACTCACCATCTCCTGGTGATTGGCCCAAAGTCACCCAGTCGACTTTCATGCCTTAGGCGGGACTAGAACTCCCTGCCGCCTAGTTATTGACCTAAAACCACCCAGCCACCTTTCATTCCTAAGACAGAACTAGAACTCAGTCTCCTAGCCCAGCACCTTGACCACTAGACCAAACAATGTCTCACCTCCTTGTTGGGTTTTCACTTGGATGGGATCCGAGAGCGGGCCGTCCCCCACCGACGTAAACGCCAAGACTCGCACGGTGTAGGTCTCGTGCTCCAGAAGGCTCCCAACGGTGGTCAAGAGGCTATCATCCACGTTGTGTTTCTGCCAGTTGCTGACTGGCTGGTCGGGCTCCATGGTGTAATACACCCGGTAGCCCCGGATCTGACCGTTCGGTTCCACCGGTTCCTCCCACTGGATGATCATGGTCGAAGCGCTCAACATCCGGCCCTGAACATTTCGAGGGGCGCTGGCGGGGGCCTGCTCCCCCGTACGGGTCACAACGGAATCGCTGTGAGGGCCCTGCCCAATTGTGTTCACCGCCGACACCCAGATCTCATACTCTGAGTTGGGACTAAGCCCCCCAATGCTGTAGCGGGTGGTGGTGATGTCCTCCTTGATCTGATATGGCCCGTCCTGACTCTTTGACTTATACTCGATCACGTAATAGGAGACGGGGTCCGGATTTCCGGAGTCCCAGGTTATGGTGATGCTGGTGGCCGTGGTCTCGGTGACAACAGGAGTACCTGGAGCTTTGGGAAAGGCTGAGAAAATGGGAAGAATTGATGAAAAGAACACAATCGTGCCCACTGTATGCATAATGTTTTACCTAACTGGCAAGCGAGAGTGCCCGGCGTGCGGCGTAGGGGGTAGCATTTACTGAAGAAGAGTGATTGAAACATTCCCAGCCTAGTTAGGTGGATTTTCCTTAACCAACATCATCAATCTGGAAAGTGTTCAGCTCAACAGCTGGCATCATTAATGTGTGCCCAGTGCTAAAAAAAGTGGCCGCTTGCTTGCAAATATGGGTAGTCCTCACCTCAACGTATGACCACAATTGTGCCCAAAATGTTTAAGGTGTCAACGCTGCTAGCATCGGATGTTTTTGCATTGACAACAGATGGAAATGTAGCTATCTTTTACCTTTTGCTTTTAGAGTTAGATGATGCTGGGAGGGGGGACGTGAACGAGAGTCCAGCTAGACATAACAACACTAGACCTAGCGTGAGAATCAAGGTTATTGTAACCAGAGCTGATAAGGAATTGGGGGCTGGAGAACTGGAAAGGAAGCCCGTACTTCAAGCTAATTGGGGAATGTGATTTATGACTGTTAATTGGAGGAGGGAATTGTTCTTTGATTCTATGTGCTCAGGGGAGGGGAATTCAATTTTTGGCTTCGATTATGCAGTGCCGATATTATGCTACTCGAATAAAAGATTCTTTAAGGTAAACAATGCCTCGAAGTGCTTTCGAAGAGTTTCATCTGTCGGAACCATGACATAAGGCTAAGCCAAGATATTTGATAAGTGAGTTTGGTCCTGTTTTATGTCACAGTTGTTAAGGCAGTCGCTGCAGTTGTTAAGGGAGTAACACGCTGGGCAACTGGGTTCATATTTACGACCGTTGCAATGTCCTGGGGTCCCTTTTGTGCCCTTCTGACAAGCAGTCAATGGGGAAGCCAGATCGACTTAACAATTGTGTTACTAGCTTAATAACTTCAGTGATTCACTTAACAACCGGGGCAAGAAAGATTGTAAAGTGGGACAAAACTCACTTCACAACTGTCTCGCACAGCAACAGAAATTCTGGGCTCCATTTTTGGTCATAAATTGAGACTGCCTGTATTTGTTTGCAAACCTATGCAGTCACTTAATGATTGTATCTTTGAGTGCCAGGACAACAGCGGTTGAGCAAGGCAATCACTTGGGTTGCCTTACTTAACAACCGCAATGACGTACGTCTGTAATGGGACAGCTCTGGAGCCTCTTTCCCTTCCATCAATCCTTCACCCCATTGCCAAGTTCTATAGTTTTCCTATCAATATAAGGGCAGGGGTAGGCCACCTTGGCTCTTTTATGACTGGTGGACTTCAACTCCCAGAATTCCTGAGCCAGCATGGCTCAGTCAGCTTGGAAACCTCTCCCTTTCCCCTCAGCGTGGCTGGCTCAGGAATTCTGGGAGTTGAAGTCCACGAGTCATAAAAGAGCCAAGGTTGCCTACCCCTGCCCTAAGGAAACAAAGTCATAAGATACTTCACCAGATTGCCAACTTGGCATCGTGAATGTGTAGATTCCAAATTAAATTCATTAAATGGCTAAAAATAGACATGGAAATGCATGCTAAACCTCTGGTGGAAATGGCATTAAATTTATGATCTCAAGAACTATCATATGGTCTTTCCTTTATGCCTGCCTGCTAAAGTGGTAGTAGATGGATCAAAGTCAGGGGTAGTCAAGCTTGGCTCTTTTATGACTCGTGGACTTCAACTCCCAGAATTCCTGAGCCAGCCACGCTGAGGGGACAGGGAGAAGTTTCCAAGCTGAGCCATGCCGGCTCAGGAATTCTGGGAGTTGAAGTCCACGAGTCATAAAAGAGCCGAGGTTGCCTACCCCTGATCTAAGGGTAATCCTCTACTTATGACTATAATGGAGCCTGCATATTGCAGTCGTAAGTCACGAGAGTCATATTCCAACCTTTTTTTAGTGATGGGCGTAAAACAAATGCCATGGCGGTAAAGTGACCCCCACGGTTGTTAAGCAAATGTTGACGTCGTTAAGCGAAACCACGATTCGCCGTGAGCTCGGTTTTGCCGACCAGCAGAATTAACCGTGTTTGGCAAAATTGCCATCCTGTGATGACAATTCCCATGAAGGCAGCTACCTCGCTGAACATCCGAAGGGTCTGACAGTCGGGATTTTGGAAGCAAGTCGTGAGTAGCCCCAAGGTAGGTCTGTCATAGCTTAGAACGGTCGCTAAGCTAAGCGACCGGTTGTAAATCAAGGGTCACCTGTATAGATTTTATTCCTTTGTTCTTGCTGCCTCTTGCATCAGATGAAAGCTCTCTGCTTTCGACCATCTTGCAAGCATCCGTGATGTTCTAGATCAGTCTTGTGCCCTTTAAGATGGGTGGACTTCAACTCCCAGAATTCCCCAGCCAGTCGAACTCCACCCATCTTAATGGGCCCACGGTTGAGAAAGACTGTTCTAGATTGTCAACTAATGCGGGATCATCTTAGCCTTTGAAATGACCCAATTATTCCCTTTGTTTTTCTCTTTGACCATTCCCAAAAATACAGATGTTATCGCACCTCTGTTTTCCTTCAGGTCAACGCACAAATTACATCCAGATTAGCTGCACCAGGGCAGGGGAGATGCCCATTGCTGTTTTACTCTGTAAAAACGCTCCTCATGCTCTTATTACAGAATCACACTGGGGGAAGGGACCTCGGAGGTCTTCTAGTCCAACCCGCAAAGACACAGTGGCATGCCCGAAGAGCCCACAAACTGGCCACAAAACCTAGGCAAAAGTACACGGGAGGCAGGCATGCTTCTCCAGGACGTGAACGCACGAAGCAAAGGGGACATGCGGAGGTTGCATCTTGGACCTTGCTTGCAAACAACATGGCGGTGTGGGGTGTCGTGCAGCCCCCTCCCCCAGGGAACATTGGAGGGCAATCCGGGACACATGCACAGGCTGATGTCACATCATGCAACAACGTTCTTCTCATGCACAGTTCTGACTCTACGTAGGAGCCCGGAGTCAGAAATCACAATCCCCCCAGGAAAATGCAGAGGCAAGTCATGTGATCCATTTCAGATATTTTGCAGAACAGGTAGTCCTCGACTTACGACCATTCACTGGAAGTTACAACGGCGCTGAAAGAAAGGTTGGCTTACGGCTGCTTCTTACACTTACAACCGCTGAATTGTCCCCCTGGTTACGTGATCCAAATTCAGGCGCTTGGCAACTGGCAAGTATTTACGACAGCTGGAGCCCCCTGGGGTCCTGTGGCTGCCATTTGAAACCTTTGCAACAAGCAAAGTCAAGGGGGGGGGAATATCCAGATTCGCTTTATGACCACATGATTCATTTAACGACGGCAGGGGTTCGCTTAAGAATCGTGGCAAAAAAGCCCGTAAAATCGGGTACGATTCGCTGAACATCTGCCTTGCTCAGCCACAGAAGTGCCGGGCCCGCTCGTCGTAAGTGGAGGACTATCTGCAGAACGTCCGCGAGCAGCAATCCACATAGCCAAAGGCGAGACATGGTCCACGTTGCAGTCCCAAACAATTTGACTGTGTGTCCCGTCCCCCCCCAGAATCCTAAATAAATAGGATTCCCACTTGCAACTTCAACGCATTCCGATTTTGGTTCTGCCGACCAGCGGAAGGGACAGGACGGGATCAAGCAGAGGAAACGGGAAGAAAATGGCAGACATGCACATGTAGACAGGGGATCTAGGTTAGGGAGAGACCGTCTCGCCTAACCGACATCCCCTTTCGCTTGAAAGGGCTCAAAAACACAAACTCATTTTCAACAGCTTTGCCAAGCAGCGTTGTCCAATGGAACACCCAGACGTCCACACCAAATTGGGAGTTGTGTGTTGTGGAAAGCCGCTGTAGATCAAGCTTAAGCTCCACCATTGGGAGAAATCAAGAGTGAATTTTTCAGGAGACCAACGAACATTCTTGTTTTTCCTTTGAAGACGTTTCGCTTCTCATCCAAGAAGTTTCTTCAATTTTGACTGGATGGTGGGGAATGGAAGGATTTATATTCCTTGCAGGTCATTTGCATTCTTTTAGAGCAGGGTTGTCAAACTGCCGGCCCGTGGGCTGGATGTGTCATGGCGAAACCGCGCCCACCCCATTGCCAGCAATGGAAAAAAAGTCGCGATATGTCACGACCTATTACGTGACTTCCGAATTTGACACTCCTGTTTTAATGAGTCCTTGAGGCCACTTGGAGGGCTCATTTGCCCCACTCAGATGGACCCTGAGAACACAGATAAACCTCCAAGTGGCCTCAACGACTCTCTAAGAGGAGGCAAATGACCAGCTGTCTGAAAGGAGTATAAATCCTTCCCTTCCCCACCATCCAGTCAGAGCTGAAGAAGCTTCTAGGACAGTGGTTCTCAACCTTTTTAATGCCGCGACCCCAACCGGTCGTAAGTCGAGGACTAAACCGGTCGTAAGTCGAGGACTAAACCGGTCGTAAGTCGAGGACTACCCAACCGGTCGTAAGTCGAGGACTTTCCCTGCCCGGGAGCGCCGCACATGCGTGGTTCCGCCCCCTGCGCCGGCCGAGGAGTAGCTGGCAAGTGGCAGAGACGGAGCAGGCCGACCACCAGCTGGCCCAGCCCAAGGGAGGTAAGGCACCCGCTGGAAAAGGGGAAAAAAATGGCGGACAAAAAAAATGGCGGACAGCCTTGCTTGGCGACCCCCGTGAAATGGTCGATCGACCCCAAATGGGGTCCCGACCCACAGGTTGAGAACCACTGTTCTAGGATGAGAAGCGAAACGTCTTCAAAGAAAAAACAAGACCTGGATTGACTGAGAATCTCAAATCCAGAGTGAAGATCACTAGGACCAAGTCAGGCAGTAGGAGACCGAATCGATCAAGGAATGGTGCAAACTTACATTTGACGGTGATCTGGGCCACCGCTTCAATGACACCCAGGCTAGACATGGCGACACACGTGTAGTTGGCGGAGTCTTTGACGTCGGTCAACTCAAGGACGTTGCGTCCCACCGGCATGTCGTCCTCTGGCGTCAAATCTTCGGCCCCCTGCATCCATTTGACGTACGGCATAGGCGAGCCCACCGCCACGCAGGTGATGTTCACGTTCCCGCCCGGCATGATCTCGTGGCTGGTGGGCGGGATGGAGAACCGGGGAGCCACGCGCCGCACTGCGGACGAAATGCACAGCGGTAACAAAACAAAACGGGAAAAAAAAGGGGAAAAAAAGGAGGAGAAAAAAAGAGAGAAGAAAAATAAAAATAAAAGATAAAGAGGGAAAGGGGGACAAAAAGAGCAGAAGAGAATTTAAATAACAGGTGGGGCTGGCATTACTTGTAAGTTCCTTCATTATTATTTTTTTCAAAATTAAAAAAAGGCTGAAATTAAAAAATTATCGGAATGCTAAAGAAATCAATCAAGAAATGGGGGGAAGGGGAAATAAACAGAACTTCGAAAAGAATTTACTTTCACAAACGATATATATAGAGAATATAGACATCAAAGCAATATTTCATAGCAACAGAGTTCCAATGATCAGTTTGAGACCTGTCATCACAGCACAAATATAGACACAAAAATTTATTAGCAATTTCTCATCTTTGGAAAAAGCAAAGAGAGGGCACAAGCGCGTCCGGACGGGGGTCCCTCGTACATCTTGGCATATGGGGGGGGGGTTCCATTTCTCACCACCCCAACCCTGAGGGGCACCAACTTGCAAGATGAAAATGTGGGATTTGGCCTGTATTCCCTTTAAAATCTGGATCCTGGTTTAGGGAAGAGATAAAAATCCTGGATAAACAATGGGGGGAGGGGGGCTCCGTCAAAGCCCACCCCCTAAAATAAAAAAAAATTGAAGACGGGGAGAATGGCTTTTTACAAGTTAGTCCTCAACTTAACCACCATTCGTTTAGTGACCGTGCTAAGTTACAACGGCACTGGAAAAGGTGACTTACGACTATTTTCCACACTTACGCCCGTTGCGGCATTCCCTATTCCAGGGGTAGGCAACCTGGGCTCTTTTATGACTCGTGGACTTCAATTCCCAGAATTCCTGAGACAGCATGGCTCAGCTTGGAAACCTCTCCCTGTCCCCTCAGCATGGCTGGCTCAGGAATTCTGGGAGTTGAAGTCCACGAGTCATAAAAGGGCCTAGTTTGAAGACCCCTGCGCTAAAGGTACAAACCAGCAGTTCCACCAGATGTAGAGTTGGTCTATAGCAGGGGTGGGGAACCTTGGCTCTTTTATGACTCGTGGACTTCAACTCCCAGAATTCCTGAGCCAGCCATGCTGAGGGGAAAGGGAGAGCTTTCCAAGCTGAGCCATGCTGGCTCAGGAATTCTGGGAGTTGAAGTCCACGAGTCATAAAAGAGCCAAGGTTGCCTACCCCCTGCCCTATGGTCATGTGATCACAATTCGGACGCTTGGCAACTGGTTCGTATTTACGACGGTCGCAGCGTCCCGGGGGAGCGGTCACGTGATCCCCTCTTTGCGACCTTCTGACTTGCAAAGTCCACCAGGAAGCCGGAGTCACTTAACAACCGTCTTAGTAACTTAATAACCTCAGCGATTCGCTTTAACAACGGTGGCGAGGAAGATCGTAAAATGGGGGGGAAAAAAGTCACATAAGAACTGTCTGGCTTAGCAGCAGAAATGTTGAGCTCAATTTTTGAGGTGTTTTGATAAATTCCCATCGGTACATCTAAAATGTGGGAGGCCAGATTTTTCAGACAGCAAACATTTCTTTGTTCTAGATGTCCATTGTTGGGGAAGCGATGATAAAACAGCTGTGTTTCACATCTGGATAGCCAGTCCTCCTTGAGGGTTATGCAGATAGCCCTTAAGTTACTACCATTCATTTAATGCAGGGATCTTCAAACTTGGCCACTGTAAGACTTGTGGACTTCAACTCCCAGAATTCCTCAGCCAGCCCTGGCTGGCTGAGGAATTCTGGGAGTTGAAGTCCAGAAGTCTTACAGTGGCCAGGTTTGAAGACCCCTGATTTAGTGACTGTTTAAGTTACAGCAATATTGGAAAAAAGTGGCTTACAACCGGTCCTCACATTTACAACCATCGTAGCATTCCCCGTGGACATATGATCAAAATTTGGGGACCTGACAATGATGGTTTACGATGGTTGCAATGTTCTAGGCTCACCTGATCATCATTTGTGACCTTCCTTAACCAGCTTCCAGCAAATCAAGTCAATGGGGAAAGCTGGACCTCCTTAACAATCCAGCTTAATGTTAAATGATTCACTTAGTAACTCCATGGATTTGCTAAGCGACCATGGGGGGAAAAAGCTGCTAAAATCAGGCAGGATTAACCATCTTGCTTAGCAATGGAAATCCTGGCCATGAGATTGTGGTCGTAAGCCGAGGACAACCTGCAGTCTTTCTCACAGCCAGGCTGCCCTTGTGACCAGATGCAAAAATGGACCCAAAAGGGCTGAAATCCTTTACAGCTTGTCCTCATTTAGTGACCACCGTTCGCACCAGCAACTCGGTCACTAAACAAGATGGCAACTGCGCTTGTGATCTGACTGCAGCTCTCCTTTGCTTTACAGACCCGCAAAGGTGGTAACTTTGGGCCTGGAACTGGTCATTATCCTGTGAAATTTCATCAGGGTCGTAGCTGCAATTGGCCGCTAAACAAGACAGCAGCTAAACCAGGATGACCTGTAACTATGATTAAAGCTAGGCGCTCCTAAGAGACTATCGTGCTGAAATGCTCGCCGGTGGCAAAAATCAAGGTGAGCAGGTGAGGATAGCGGGCCTTGCTCCCTAGAGGTACCCCAAATTTAGTCCGAAAAAAAATGGAAGAGAATGCATAAAGAAGGGAGGGGTGGGGCGAGCTCTCTCCCCTTCCCCACCCACCCACTCACCACCCCCAATAAGGAGGAGAAGCTTCGACAAGAAGGCCGCGTACGGGAAAGGAAACAAAAAAAAAAAGATAAAAAGATGAGAAACTCTAATCAAATTTTTGTGGTTTTGGGTTATATACACCCTAACGAAGCTTCTTGGAAAAATCTGACATGATTCCATTGATAGATGCAGCTTTCGGAGGTCATGCAAAAGGAGAAGCACAAGAGGAGAGAAAGAGGAAGAAGAGGGAGAGAGAGAGAGAGAGAGAGAGAGAGAGAGAGAGAGAGAGAGAGAGAGAGAGAGAGGAGGTGTAGAACAGTGGAAGTTATTCAATGGGCTGCTAGCAAACGCCCATGAGGTTCGGGGGGAAAAATGGGGTGGGGTGGGGGGGAAATTAGAGAGAGACAGAGAGGTTTGGGGTACAGGGGAACCCACTTTTAAAATGCTGCATACTCTGTTTCTAGCTGATGTGATCCAATGTGCTGATCTAACATTGGCACATCGCAGCCCTGCCAGAATTATAATCATAATCATAACAATAATCATAACAATAAAAGAGAATTCGTAAGGATCAAAAAAAGGGGGAAGGACACGGAAAAGGAAACGGACACAGGGCAAGGGGGAGGGGGGGGGAAACGAGAAATCACACAAAATGACCACAGTGGGTGTTGCATGCAGATGCACCTCGCCGGAGGGATGATCGGGATGGGAGAGAGAAAGCACTGTTTCATGTGGATCCATTTTTCGCACACACAAGCACACACACACACGCACAACTGCACACCAAAAAAAGATGGGCTAATGCTGTCCGCTAACTCTACAATTGTAAAAGAGGGTTCAGGAACACGTTCAACATTTTATAGGGACCAGCCATATTTATATTTATTTATCTTTTCTTTCCGCTGTCTGACTCCTTCTGGGTTTTCCTGTTGATTGGGACTGGAGAAGAGTCCCTTGTCCTGCCCTGAAATAAGCCTTGGTTTAATCCTAGCCAAATTCTGGATATCTTCAGGTTCTGAAAAGAATGGGACGGTGCTGCCTGTAAAGCACGTGTCACTCTAACCAGGGTTTAATCAAAGGTAAATGATGGCATTCGCATTATCCGTGAAGGAAGGAAAGATCCGAGAGCTGAGCAGGTGGCCTCCATCAAACCAGGATGGCTGGGTTGCTACAAACATTTTCGCAACTAAGGTGTCGATAAATTAAGTTGTGGAAGGACCAGTTTCTATTGATTTAATCTTCCTTTTTGTGCAAAGCTAGCTGGGAATGGCCTTGAGTGACAGGAGGAAAGCAAAGCAACATTAGATAAGAGGTGGCTGAACTCTGGTTAGATAAGAAGCGTGGGGATCTTGGTGATGTTCTCTGAGCTTGCTTGCTTTCTTGCAGACCTTTCACGACCATACCAGGTAACATCATCAGTCCATGAAGGGTGTCTGTTTATATGCTCTGTTTGTATACTAGAGGTGTTTGAGCCCCGGTCAAAAAAGTAATTGAGTAAGTGCCTGGGGCACACACCCCTCCTGGTTCACGTGAAGATTAAGGAATGGGGGGGGGGAAGCACATTCAAGGTGCTTTTATTACACCTGTTACAATCAAAGTGGTCCTGATCTAGATGGTACTATATGGTTCCTAGCCTGGTCTACCTTGTAGGGCTGTTGTTGCAGGCAACACTGAACTAGAGGGCTTCATTCCTCACTAAAACCAAGGCATTTTCCCTCCATGTTCTAAAGTCACTGCTTTCCACTCTGGGAGATGAAATGGAGACTCACACCAAGGTCTGGAAACCTTTCTTAGTTCTTTGATTTCTTTCTTATCTGAATGTAACTCCAGGAAGGAGAGAGAAAGAGAAAGAAAAAGAAAAAGAGAAAGAGGGAAGGAAGGAAGGAAGGAAGGAAGGAAGGAAGGAAGACATGGTACAAAATAGAGTCACAAGTAAACAGTGCCACCCATATATATGATCAATGAAACGGAGAGACCGAAAGGAAGGAAATTGGTGGAAGGCTTGCTGAGGGACGAGGGGTTTGAAAAAAGGCATATAAGGAAAGGGAGTGAACTCAAGAGAGGGAACAAAGCAAATGGAAGAGAAGGGGAAAGAGAAATATCCAAGCGAAGAGGTAAGGTTTACTCTGCAAAAGGCATCAAAACGGCAAAACAAGGCAGGTAGAAATGCAAACACCGGAGTATTTATTATTAAAACAGAAGAAAACAACAAAATCAAAATGAATATTGGAAGGAAGGAAGGAAGGAAGGAAGGAAGGAAGGAAGGAAGGAAGGAAGGAAGGAAGGAAGGAAGGAANGGAAGGAAAGAG